TCTTAAGACTTAGGGCTGTCCTCTGTTACTTTCCCAGACCACAAGCAGGGAGCTGGATGGGAAGTGGAGCAACTGGGATATGAGTCAGTGCCCATATGGGATGCTGGTGTTACAACGGGAAGCTTAGCGTACTAGGCCATGGTGCTAGCCCCAGTAACTGTTTTTTTAAGGAGAGGAAATTTACACTGATGTGCATGGACAGAAGGCAATGTGACAGACAGAAACAGGAGAGAGGCCTGGAACAGACTCTTCCCTCATGGTCCCCATGAAGATCCAACCTTGCTGACATCTTAAATTTGAACCTCCAGCCTCAAGGGCCATAAGATAGAACATTTCTACCACTTAAGCCCCCAGTTTGAAGTGCTATAATATGTCAGCCCTAGGCAACTCCCACTGAGGAGGAGGGGGCAGTACCTGGAGGGCAGTGGCCAGCAGTCTGTGCATCAGAGCCCTCCACAGCGTGGCCTTCATGGCAGGTGCTGAGCCTGAGATGGCAAAGTTGGAGAGCTGGGCCAGGTGTAGGGGTGTCCTGCACAGGGGCCCAGCATCTCACGGTCAGGTTCTGGTTGGGCCTTTAGCATAAGAGCAGGTGGAATCAGGGAACTTGAGAGCGGCAGGTCTCCAGGCCTCTGTGCTCTGCCTCCCAGTGTCCTTCCTCACATCCTATGTGTACATGAACCTGAGCTAACAGTGTGCCCTTTTCCTGTGTCTGTATTCTGCTGGGAGCAAGTGCCATCCTTACAGCAGGTATCCAATCAGTTCTGAATTTGACAACGCACAGTTAGACTCGGCTGTAGCTTCAAGACCTCCAGGCAGAAGAGGACAATGGCTGGGAGCTGGGAGCTCAGAGTGGAGCCACCTGAGAGTGGTGGCCATCTGCCCTCTCCCCTGTTCCACAGAGGGAGAGCCAAACAGACCCTTAATTCCTGCAAGCACAGCCAATGCCTGGCTGCCGTGCTAACAGGGCTTAGCCAAAGTTCCCGGATTACAGGGGACATTGGCACTGGACATTTGAGAATACAACTGAAGCCTGTGCAAGCCTGTCTTTTGCAACTAAGTGGATGCCACTGGAAAGCATTATGCTTAGTGAAAGAAACCAATCTCCAAAAGATAAAGTTTTTCCCTGATCTGTGATAGCTAATACACAGAGTATAAAAATGTCATTTATAGGTGCAGGAGTGACGTTCTACGATTTGATTACTGTGTATCTCTACAAGTTCCACATAATGAGCGAATCTACAGAGACTGAAGTAACTGGGTTGTCTCCGTCTAGGGAGGGATGTGGAGCGGCAGTGGGAATGGGGCTTTCTTAGGGCTGCAGAAAATGTCTTGAAATAAGCAGTGATGACGGTAGACTCAGCAGATGTGCTAAGAACCTCTAAGATGTACACCTTCATGGGCACACCTGGGAGCCTGTGAATGCTGTCTCCAGGAAGCTGGTTTTCAGCTGTTCCATCTCAGTCTGCATCTATTAGTTTTGTGTTTGCAATCACTGGAAGAGCTGCTCCAGCCAGAACACAGGTGATTCCACAAGGACAGTTCCATGTGGGCCGTGCCTGCAGCTGGCCCAGCCCAGTGGGAGCTTAGGCCTCGCCTCAGCCACTGTAGCTGTGGCTTTCTCAGGGTGGCAGGCTAGCCGGCTAGGGAAACACAGAGACTGCAGCCAAGTCTCCCCATAGTGGGTAACTCTGTGTGTGTTTGGTGAGTGAGGAAATGGGAACATGCACGAAGAACTGAAGTCACTTATTTGCCAAAGGAATCAGGAAAGCATGCGTTGGGATCCAAGATGGTCCATTCTCTACCCAGACCACTGCATTTCTATTGAGCATCCAAATTCACCGGTTCACAGCCACCGGTCCCTAGACAAGCTCTTGTAATTGCCAAGGGCTTCCCCACTCTTCCGGAGGCTGGGCCTGAGCCTGCTGTGGGCATAAAGGCCTTGCCTTTGCAGGCCAACGGGGCCTTTCCCACCAAGAACAGGAAATCAATGGCCCAAATGTTCTTTTTTGCTTGTGCAATGGTTTCCATGGGATTTCATCCTTAACTCCCCCGGAGAGGGCTGGCCAGTGCCTCTCCAGTGGCTTCCCAAGGGCATAGCAGAAAGCCTGTGTGCAGGGCTGGTTTGACCAAAGGCCAACTCTGCCAGCCAGTTGGCTGGACTGATGCAAACTCGGCTCACGACAGGAGCAAAGAAAGCCCCTGTTCATGGGGCCCGGCCTGGCCTGGAGGCCTCTGAAGTTTCCCAGAACACAGGGAGCCTTGTGCAAGCTTCAGGGGCTCTGCCTGCCCAGCACTTGGCTGCCCAGCTCTCAGGGAATAGAGCAGCTGAGCAGGGTGAGGGTGCGGTTGGTGGCCCTGGAGAGGCATGGCTCCCCAGGTTTGTCTAGAACTCAATGACCAGGCAAAGGGTGCCAGAGCAGACTGGTTTGAAAAAAATGACTTTGGAATCTTTGCTCAGTTACGTAAGTGTCTTGGCAGAGGCCCATGTTAGTGCATTTTCATTTTATTTGAAAAGTGGGCACAAAGACCTCCTATCTGCTGGTTCACCCCAAATTGCCCACAACTACCAAGGTTGGGACCAGGCTGAATTCAGAAGCCAAGAACTACATCCAGGTCTCCCACATGGGCGGCAGGAACCCCAGCACTGGAACAATCTCTTCCACTGCTTTGCTGGGTGCATTAGCAGGGAGCTGGATCCAAAGTGGAAGAGCCAGGACTCAGACCAGGCACTGGGATACAGGACGCTGACATACCAAGTGGTGACTTAACCAGCAGTGTTACAATGCTTTCCCTCTCCCCACCACAAGACCCAGCTCCCAGGCATCCACTGAGAGTCTCGCAAGGACAATGGGTGACATGATGCAGGGAGATACCTGTACTTTGCTTGCTGTGTGTTGGGTGCTCACACACAGTAGTTCCAAGCTCTACACTGAGATTGCACTCCTGCCAGCAGGAGTCTTAGTGTCCATCAGGGTCTCCCTGTGTGTGGCAGAAGCCCCAGCACTGCAGCCATCATTTGCTGCCTCCTGCACCAGCTGGACGCTGGACCGGACTCACAAGGCAGGCTTCTCTAGTGGCCACTTCATCCTCTGCTCTGTGTTGCAATCTTCAACAGTCACGTGGAGCTCACAGGGGGTGTGACTGACAGCCCAGGTCAAGCAGGGCTGGGAGTCAAGTGGCCCAGAGGCAGCAGGAGGGATCTAGGCTTTGAAGACACAGGTTGTTTTTTTTTTTTTAAAAGATTTATTTATTCTTACTGGAATGTCAGGGAGACAGAGAGGAAGATCTTCTGTCTGCTGGTTCACTCCCCAAGTGGCTGCAATGGCCAGAGCTGAGCTGATTGAAAGCTAGGAGCCAGGAGCTGCTGCTGGGTCTCCCATGCAGGTGCAGGGCCACAAGGCTTTGGGCCATGCTTTATTGCTTTCCCAGGCCACAAGCAGGGAGCTGGATGAAAATTGGGGAAGCCAGGACATGAACCAGCGCCCACATGGGATCCCAGTGTGTGCAAGATGAACTTTAGCCACTAGGCACAAGTTTTAGAAGACATAAGAATTCCTTCCCCAGGATACCAACAATTTCTATTGCAGAACTCCCCTGCACGGATTGAAGGAAAGAAGAAGTGAGACAAATCACCAAGAAAATAAATGATTTCCTTTTGTTTACACCCATGGCACGTTAGTAATAACACACAGTCACACAAAACTTGCCTATCTTGACAGAAAGCATATTATTTACTTATACAAACAATAATAATAATAACAACACTCCAGCCCTAACTTGGGGTCCAAAAAGGACATGGACATAGAAGGGGGTGGGGTCATACTGAGTCATTGCTGGGGGCACTGCCCGGCAGAATGTCAGAACAGGAGAGCCGGGGTGCCCTGTGCCGGCTCCTGAACTCACCCCACATTCACGCTGAGTGTGTGAACTGGGCCATCCAACGTGAAGGTTGAAGCTTGAGGGGAAGGTCCAAAAATGGAAGGAAACAGGAAGAAAACCGTTTTACCCTCTGCCTTTCAAAGAAAAGCCCTACAACCTCAACAATGAGACTCTGGAGTGCTACGAAGAAAGCCAAGCAACTGACAGGAAAGGATGGACAACAGGCACTGGCTTTGAGGTCAGGGCTGCTGGAAACAGGGTCCCGAAGGCTGTGAAGTACATGGTCCTCTTGTAACCAAACGAGATGTGGACGGATGCCACTCTCTGAGAGTGGAAACTGGTTTCGATGTCTAGAGTTGCGGGCAGCAAAAGCAGATGGAAAATTCTAAAGCCACATTTTCCATTTCACTCTCTGTCCAAAGTTAGGCCACCGGATGAGGAATATGAGTGAGTCGGATATCATGTACCAGTGGACTTCAGAAAGCTCATAGACAAGGAAAATGACAATGCGCTGTATAAATGTCTGAAATGTGTACATAGTTCTTTTTCCATCATGTGCTTTCCCATGAACTTTTTGAAAATTCCTTCTGTATGTAAATTCACTCTGAACATCATTACCTTAAACGACCAGGGAAAGACAACGAAATGACGTTCAGGTATCAAGTTCCAAATGGTGCAACACGATGAAAAAACACGCAGGGAAAGGTCCACTAACCACGCCGGCTTCCCTCCAGCCAGGGCTGGAAGCCAACAGGTACTGTTCTGGGTGCTCAATGGGGTCTCCATCAGCCCCATCCGGCTGGCTCCCTGCTTGTGGAAGACTCACTGGTCCCTCAGAAACAGCAAAACTCTCTGACCTCTGACACAGTAGTAAAAGATTTGGAAAATCCACGATGAGTCATCATTTTCTTAAATCTTCCTGGTCGGTTCAGAATGACCTGACCATTTGTGTAAACACATTTCCTTCGACTCCTATAGAGCCAAGATATGGAATTTTTTTTTCATCCAATTGTTTACTTTAACAATAAGATTTGATTTATTTGGAACGCAGAGTGACAGAGACAGAAGGAGCGACAGAAGCAGAGATCTTCACTTACTGGTTCATTCCCCAAATGGCCGCCGCAGCTAGGGCTGGGCCAAGCTGAAGAACTTCATCCAGGTCTCCCACATGGAGGGCAAGGCCGTCTTGTGCGGAATTCTCAGACCATTAGCAGAAAGCTGGATCAGAAACATAGCAGTTGAAATCCAATCTGGTGCTCCAAGATGGGATGCTGGCACATCAAAGGGCAGCTTAACTTGCTGCACCACAATACTAGCGTCCTTCCAATTTAATCTGGTTGTAAAAATTACACTTCATTGTTGAATGATTTGAAACCTTCTCTCAGATATCAGGGAATTAAACGATCCAAGTTTTAAGGAATATAAACAAAAATGCGCCTGGTGAGTGTGCATATGTGTATAGAAGCATTGTTTCTATGAGCTGTTTGTGGAGGTTGTTCATCAGTGCTTGCGACCCTGTTCCCCCTGATGATCATTTAGTTACTCACTTCGCCAAACGGGTGAAAAACAGAATGCAGAATGAAACACACATTTACAGAAAAACCCTGCAAGTTTCCAAAAACCAAGAGGAGTCTGTAAGCAGGAAACAAATGGCAAGATCAATCACAACAAGGCCATCTCTCACCGCAGGTTAAATGCACAGTGTCCTTGCTGGCTTCTTTCTTGGCCTAGAATTCCCAGCACCCTCCATGGATGCTCCATAGCAGCCCCCACGAGCTGCCTGCTCTGTGCCCACATATGCGCATGTGTGGCTTTGGGCAAGCCAGGGTGAGAGCAAGCAAAGCACGTTCCCAGAGGAAACTCCCAGGACTGAAGACACAAACCAGAAAGGACACAGAAAAATGCACCTCGGGTTACAGCCTTCTCAGTGGGCAGGGGCAGGGTGGAGTTTGGTAGGGAGAAGCAGGCTGATCAGACAGGGCCAAGTGGAATGATCATGCTGCGACCCTCACTTTTCTGTTTCTGCAGATCCATGTGCAGCCAGGTGAAAGTAGGGACTCCACAAAAGAGACCCCCCAGAAGTTCTTGTGAGATGGATCACCACATCCAGCTCTGTCAGGGCACAAGGAGGTCCCAGACTCTGCTGAGTTCCTTTTTCTGACGGCCGCAGCAGGGGGCTCAGGGCTCGGGCACGTGGGCTCCTGCTGGCATGGCTGTCCATCTTCTCTAGCAGCTCTTCTTCTCGGAGAAAATCAGCAGGGCCTCTCCAAGTGCTGTGAGCAGGAGGCTGCAAATGACAACAAGATGTCAGCCTGTGCACTCAGAGCATTCCCCATGCTGTCCCACACCCAGAAAAACCAGCAAGACCAAGATGCCCGCCTGCTACCCAGCTAACCCAGAGCCTGTCACCAGGGTCAGACTTCAGTGAGGGTGTGGGAGCTGAGCTCTGAGACCAAACTTAGGTGACATGTTCACTCCTTCTGGCCTGGTGGAGGCAACTGGTCTCTGGAGGAGATATGGGGGGCGGGGAGGGGGTGTGTCCAAAACGTGTGTGGAAAATAGGATTGTGAATTTTCCATGTATTGCTTTGCTTTTTAATTATTTGAGAGGTAGAGAGAAAGAGAGTGAGAGATCTTATCTACTGATTTACTCCTCAAATGTCTGCAATGGCCAGGACTGAGATCAGGTCAAAGTCGAAAGAAGGGAACTCATTCCAGATTTCTCATGCAAGTGGCAAGGACCCAAGTGCTTGGGTCTTCACCTGCTGCCTGCCGGGGTGGTCATCTATAGGAAGTTGGATCAGGAGCAGAGCTAGGATTCAAACCCAGGTACCCTGAGCTTGAACACAGGCACCTGACCTGGTATCTTCCCCACGGGGCCCAACACCCAGGCCTACATGGGCTTTCTCAGGTACTGTGGTGCCTAGGCTGAAGAAGTTGACAGATACAAAATCACACAGGTATCTGCACTCTCGCCACTGTTAAGGCTGAAGGTCTCTGGACCTTTTGATTTCATTTAGAGACCAACAGGACATTTGCAGGTGAAAATACTAATGGGGGAGTGTGAATTCCCACCAGCGCAGAAACAAATGTGGTCAGGGATTTAAAAAACGAGAAAGTTGTGGAAGGTCGGGAGACAATGAGCCAAAGGGAGGGATGAATATTTTATCAAGCCTAAAACAGGGCACGGCCCAAGGTCTCTCCTGTTTTAAGCTCGGCTGTATTTGTTGTCAGTCTGGGCTCCAGTCCTCCTGGGCCATCCTGAGGGATGAGGATGGTGGCTCCCAGAGGAGGAACTGTTCTTTCACAGAGCCCCCGATCACTCCCTCTTCTCCCCTCTCCTCTTGCCCAGCCAACTTCCTGTTCCTCCAACACACTCATATCCAATACATGTAAATTCAGGCTGAGGTGCCTCTGCACTTCATTTTTTATTTTAAAACATTTATTTACTTTTATTAGAAAGTCAGATTTACAGAGAGGAGAGACAGAGAGAAAGATCTTCTATCTGCTAGTTCACTCCTCAAGTGGCTGCAATAGCCAGAACTGAGCTGATCTGAAGCTAAGAGCCAGGAGCCTCTTCCAGATCTCCCACATGGATGCAGGGTCCCAAGGCTTTGGGGCCATCTTCTACTGCTTTCCCAGGCCACCAGCAGGGAGCTGGATGGGAAGCAGAGCAGCCAGGACACAAACTAGCGCCCATACGGGATCCTGGCATGTGCAAGGCAAGGATTTAGCCACTGAGCCATCATGCCAGGACCTGCCTCTGCACTTCAAACATGTGCTTCGGTGCTGGACAGAGAACACACACGCAGACTGTTTCTGTTCCTCTCTCAGTAAATGGTGTCACCAAGGTAGGTGACTCTGACGTCAGGGGTAACTTGTACCACCCTCTGTTCTTAGTGTAAATCAACTGTGTGTGAAAACATCAGGACAGTCTGCTTTAGAATGAGGCAGCCTTGTTCAGGTTCAATCTTGGACCTTCCCTGTGTGTTAATCAGGCCTCACTTTCCTGCCACGGGGACCATCACATTCAACAGCATCCATGAGGCTTAGAAACACCGTACCTGTAGCAATCCATCTCGGTGCCTGGCCAATAAACAAGCCATCAACAAAACTGGATCATTTTCTAGCTGACTCTGTCCACTCTTGGGTGATGCTCAGGGCTGGCCAGCTACCCATGCATGGCAAAGTCCCACTGTGCAAACTGCCCGCAGCTGAGCAGCCCCATTCGCTGCAGTAAGCAAGTCCCTCTGGGCACCTGCTATGTGGAGGGGGGTGCTGGTGTTGACCCTGGGGACGGACGGGAATGTGGCTGGCCTCACAGCTACTTCTTGTAACTGCTTCCAAACTTGAGTCCCACTTGGACTTAGAGGCCAGATCTGTTGCTTCATCGCCCCAGAGCCTGGGACAATCTCCCTAACTCCTCACAATCTTCCCCTCGCTGGTGATGAAAGGCCCCAGGCAGGCTGCTGGGGCGAGTTACTGGGGGAGAGGAGTTGAGCTGTCCCCCAAACAAGCTAGCAACTGAGATGGGGGAGGGAGATGCATGCTGAGTATCTTCCCATTCCTAGCAAATTACACTATGAATCACTGTAAGTCCACGAATTCCATTCAATTCACAAGGATGTTATTGAAATTGGTGTCTGTCCTATAAACCAAATACATTCCCAAGGACTTAGCTGGACAGAATTGGCACACAGATCTTAGCTTCTGTGGAAAGCTGCTAGTGCTCTGAAGGGTGCCTGCCATTCCCCAGCACAGCCCGCGTGCGAGGCAGGGGCCTGCTCTTCTCACTCATGCCCAAGTGGCTGAAGGCTTCGTGGCCTCTTTGATTGAGAAAGGGAAGTCATTTTCTACAATGGGTCTCTTCCTTTTTCTTTTTTTCTGTTCCCAAATGGCCATAACAGGTAAGAATAGGCCTGGCTGAATCAGAAGCTAGGAGCTTCTTCCAGGTCTCCCATGGGGGTGGATACAGGGGCCAAATACTTGGGTTGTCTTACTCTGTTTTCCCAGGCACATTAAAAGGGAGCTGAATTTTTTGTTTTAACTTCATACCTGTTGTTGACTTTGTTTCGTGGCTTCTCATTTAAGGGGATGTATAGTGATGGTGTAATAGAGACTATCATATCCAGATGTGAAGATACAATAAATTATCATTCCTACTTCCAAATCAAAGATGGACTCCCAATGAAACTGTTGGACATATCTAGACAATGGGATGCTGGACTGTCTAACATTGTCTGTACCAGCAATGTTGGGGCACACTTAAATAACAGACTGACGGACTCAGGAGTACTTATGAAGGATTATACTATTGTAATAATATGTGGAAAATTAGTTAGGAAGTGCGAATTTGGGCGGGGGGGGAATCACAGGCCCTATTGAATTGTACCATAAAATTCAAAATTAAAAAAATGTAAAATAAACAAACATTAAAGCAGTACAGCTAGATCGAAAGTGGAGTGGCTAGCATTGGGATGCCAGAGTTGCAGGTGGTGGTGGCTTAATCTGATACGTCACAATGCCGGCCCTTGGACTCTTCCTTTTAAGTAGAATGCTGCTCCCTCCAGGGTCCCTAATGCAGTGGCTTCCAGTCACGCTTTCGGCCAGGTGCAGAGCCATGGCCATCAGACAGCTGGGCAGCACGGAGCTCTGTGATTCAAAAGGGTTGTTTCTGGGAGTGAAGCAGGCTTCTCAGTCATTTCACACACTTGCCACTGATACTCTTCATCACCAGTAAGAAAACCAGGGGAGTGGCTGGCCCTGAGCCACTTCCACTCCCACTGCCTTAGAACAATGCTAGAGTTAATAACCTTGCATTTCATCTTTTTGACTGAGTGATTTTATTAAACACCAAAGCAGCTTCGGGAATGCCAAAATGAAAACAAACCTTGATTCAGTTTATGGTTACGTGAGCCAGGGAGGGGAGCTTTGGGGTTTTTGTGTTTTTGTTTTTGCTTTTTTTTTTAACAGCAGGAGAGAGGCTGACACAAGGTCTGGGACTCCTAATGGCATTACAACTATTTAAACCAAGGCTGGACTGAACTGTTGGCAAATCGCATAATCCTGTCACTCCCAAAATAAACATATTTCATGTAACAAAGGCATAAACATCAGACTGCAGGTGACTGCTCAGCCAGAGCCATCCGTCATTCCCTTCTCACTGGATTTATTTTCAGTGTCTCTCCAGCCCTTCCTATCTCTTAGGAGGAGACCAAAGACCCTGGCTCAATGAAACATTTATTATTCTGGCTATTCAGTGGATTCCTAGTGAGCCCACCAGACCGAAGAGAAGACCAAATCCTTTCCCTGGCTGCAGGCCCAACATCTGACGCAGCACCCAGCAAGCATGTATTCAATGGATGATTGAATCATGCCCATTGTTTCGCTACCTCCCATCTTTATTTTAAACTATTTTTAGCTTTCTTCTTTCTTCTTCCTCAAAATTTGTCAATACTCTTGGTCCCTTGGGCCTTGCTGATGGACAGCTCATAATTTGATAGATTATGATAAAATGTAAAAAGGCATATGGGCATTGGTCTGTGTCCCAGCTGTTCCACTTCTCATCCAGCTCCCTGCTTGTGGCCTGGGAAAGCAGTAGAAGATGGTGCCAAAGCCTTGAGACCCTGCAGCCATGTGGGAGACCCGGAAGAAGCTCTTGGCTCCTGGCTTCAGATTAGCTCAGCTCTGGCTGTTGCAGCCACTTGGGGACTGAACCAGCAGATAGAAGATCTTTCTGTCTCTCCTTCTCTTTGCAAATCTGCTTTTCCAATACAAAAAAATTAATCTTTTTGTTGGAAATGCAATGGCTGGAGCTGAGTCAATCCAAAGGCAGGAGCCAGCAGCTGCATCTGGGTATCTCCCTTGGGTCCAGGGACCCACGCACTTGGGTCATCTTCTGCAGCTTTCCCAGGCCATTAGCAGGGAGCTAGATCAGCACTGTAACAGCTAGATTCAAACTGGCACCCACATGGGTACCGCAGCACCACAGACAGAAGCTTAGCCAAGGTGTCAGTCCAGCATTTGGGTTTCTAAGTGTTCCTGGGTACCTGACTGGGGAGGCTGGCCACTCTGTCTCATCAGCAAGCCTCGGTGCAAAACATGAAAATGAAGGGATGGAAACCGAATTTCCTCCTGGAGCTGCTCACAACCTGGTAGGTAGGAGAGACTCCAGGTGGCAGGTTCTCACAGTGCAGGACACAGGGACGCTGGGAAGGAACACAGAGCACTTGACATTTGATGATCTAAATCTCCAATTGGAAGGTGAGCAAATGCCTTAGGATCTTGC